GGTGTGGTTTGGGCTTTGCTTCTGTAAAGACTGACAGCCTTGGAAACCCTGTGGTGCAGTTCCACTCTGTCCTCTAGGGGCGCTGTGAGTCAGAATCGACTCCACAGCAGTGGGTGTGGTTTGGGCTTTGCTTCTGTAAAGATTGACAGCCTTGGAGACCCTGTGGGGAGTTCCATTTTGTCCTCTAGGAGTGCTATTGTTATTGTTATGTGCTGCCGAGTCCTCTCGGACTCCTAGCAAACCCTCCTTGGGTTTCCAAGGCAGCATCTCTATGGAAGTAGATTGCCCAACCTTCCTTGCCTAAGGCACTTGACTGCTAACCAGAAGGCTGGCGGTTCAAACCCACTAGCCACTCCTCAGAAGGAAGATGGGGCAATCTACTTCCATAGTGATACCGCCTCAGAAACCCAAGGAGGGGTCCTATGAGTCAGGGCTGACTCGAGGGCACATAACAACAACAACCTTCCAAGGAGTGGCTGGTGGGTTTGAACCCTCAGCCTTCTGGTTAGTAGTCAAGTGCCTTAGGCAGCTATCAGAGCTCTTCTAGGGGCGCTGTGAGTTGGAATTGGAATCCACTCAACTGCAGTGGGTATTTTGGGCTTTGCTTCTATAAAGATTTGTAGCATTGGAAACCCTCTAGGGCAGTTCCCCTCTGTCCTCTAGGGGCGCTGCGCGCCGGAATTAACTCAGTGGCAGTGGGTTTGGTATGGGCTTTGCTTCCATAAAAATTGACAGCCTTGGAAACCCTCTGGGGCAGTTCTACCCTGTGACATGGGTCACTGAGTTGGAATTCACTCCTGGGCAGCACACAAGAGCAATATCTGGTCGTGAAGAAAAACGTTACTATTAAAAGTTGGGGTTTTGTTTTCTTGTGGTTTTTTTGGTCATTTTAATTCTAAAGTAATTCAGTTTATAAGTGCAGAATTTTAAATTCCTCCTTCCTTGGAACACCGTGGCCCTTCAGGCACACAGGCCTTGGGGGCCGCGGTCTGGCTCCCGCCACCAGCCGCTGGGTCTCATTTCTCCCTTGTTCTCCTGCAGCGTTCCAATCCACATGCTGCCTACCCCAACCCTGGACCAAGCACATCACAGCCGCAGAGCAGCATGGGATATTCAGCTACCTCCCAGCAGCCTCCACAGTACTCTCATCAGACACACCGGTACTGAGCTGCGCCGGAATCACGTCATTGCACTGTCGCTATGCTGCGGGCGGACTGCGCGCCCCCGCGGCGCCTGGCCCGGGCCGCGAGAATGTACCGTGCAGCCACGCCTTCAGAACGTCCAGCCGCCGAGTCCCACCACTTTTCACAGATCGGGGTAGTGGCTTCCAAGTTGTACCTATTTTGGAGTTAGACTTGAAAAGAAAGTGCTAGCACAGTTTGTGTTGTGGACATGCTACTTCCATAGTTTACTTGACATGGTTCAGACTGACCAATGCATTTTTCCCAGTGACAGTCTGTAGCAGTTGAACCTGTGAAATGTGCTAGAGGCAAGCATTTGTCTTTGTATGTGGTGAGCCCTATCCGTGTAACAGCGTTATCTGACCAATAATAGTACACACACGGAAACTGTTTAACTGGTACTTGAAACATACAGTATATGTTAACGCAACAAAATAACCAAGACGCAAAGTGACATTATTTTGGTACACCTTTCTTCTTAGTGTCTTATCAGTGAGTTGATTCGTCTTCTACATTAATCAGTGTTTTGTTTTGTTTTTTTTTTTTTTTTTTTTTTTAAAAAAAAAAAACCTTTTTTTTTTTTTTTTTTTTTTTTTCCAAAATTACAAAAACCAAGTTTTTCCAGAAAGGTTTCAAAACTCCCAAAGATTAATTTCCAACTGACTGGTTTAGTTTTCTTTTCAATCTTTGACTTGACTGGTGTTAAAGCTGCTATTTGATAGTGATTAGGTATGTTGTCATTGATACACACCTGTTTGGTTCAGCAAACAGACTGAGGCGATCATCCAGCGTTCCCTTTTTCCTGGTGGTGTTGCTGATTTGTGAGCATGCTTTAAGATGAAAAAAAGCATGAACGATAACTTCCTTAAAAAGGTGCGGCATCCGATTCCGTTATTTTGTCCTGATTTTACAGCTGGTCGGTGTAGTGCTCTTAAAATTTCGTTCAGTTCATTTTCTTTTCTAAAACTCGTTCGCACGTGGTTTAGGGTGCCCTTACTTCAGCAAGGAGAGGGAGTAGGAGAGCCTTAGAATTTTTGAGGAAAAAAAAAACCCTATAACATACAATGTACTGTATCAAACTATTTTACATGAATGACACAAGTATTCTGAATAAAAAAAAATTGAACATTGTTAAAAACAAGGTGTTATGTAATAAATTTATTTTTCATAAATCAAAATACAGACTCAGTTGTATTTTTTTATATATATTCCAGATTTGTTTGATTTTAATTTTAAAATGTGCCTTAACAACTTGCCTCTGAATAAAATCACGGGAGAAAGGCCTTGGAAAGCCTGGGGGGCGGTTCTACTCTGGTCTGTAGGGTCCCGGTGAGTTGGAATGGACTCAAGGTACAGAGGTTGATGAGTGGGGTGGAGCTGGCACGTGGACCCTCCGTTGTTCACCAGCTCCCCGGATGGTGTGATGCAGGCCCAAGAAAAGCCAACCTCCATTCTCAGCAGCCGGCCCAACGCCAGTGACGATAGAGTGGGAGTGGCTCGGAGAGATGGGCGCTCGGCTGACAATCCCTCCCCCATTAGGTGAATTTCAAAACACAAAATCCATTGTAATCCCCGCATCCACACTAAATACTATGACGCCTACGGCTGCAGTGCCCCTCCCACCCTCCAAGCGGCCCGGATCCGGGAGAACAGGGTGCTGCCCCCCCCCAGAGCCCTGCGGTCCGCTGTTCCGCCACCTTTGTGACGCTTGTGACCCCTGCTGTCCCCCTCCGCCCCTTGTGTGCGCAGAGCACCAACCACCTGACCCACAAAGATGGGGCGCAGCTCTTGTCTCTTCCCAGGAGCCCTGGTGGCACAGAAGTGAAGTGCTCAGCTGCTCACCAAAAGATTGACGGTTGGAACCCATCAGCGAATCCACCGGAGAAACACCTGGCCATCTGCTCCCATACGGATGACAGCCTTAAAAACCCTGCCGGGCAGTTCCGCTGCGTCTCGTAGACTCACTGTGGGTTGGAATTAACTTGATAACCAAGGGTCGTGTTTTATTTTGTCTCTTCCCAGTGTTCTGGAAGCACCAGGGAGGCAGAGGTCTCAGTAGCAGACATGTCCTATTTGCTCCCTAACTAACGGTGGCTTCGGTGCTGAGGTGCAGGGTGGATGAGCACGTGGGGGCGCTGGCGCGTGGATCCTTCCTTGTTAACCACCTCCCCAAATGGCTTCTGACGAGGGCAGACCAGGAAGCCGGGCTAAGAGAAACCATCCTCTGCCCATGGCGGCTGGCCTAGCACCAGTCGCATCATGGTCCCCAGATTTCTATTTCCAACCCAGACTTCGCTGCCCCTTCAACAACTAACTGCACACTGAGACGTCTGATGCATGACGGCTCAACATCTCCAACCGAATGCATCCCAAACCACCGTCTGCTTTCAGCCTCACCAGCCCCTCCTGCGGACTCCTAGGAGCAAAAGCTCCAACCCCTCCAGTTGTCTGGGCCAGGCGGGACCTCAGCACCCATTCCATAAGCAGAGCCTGTCCGTTACCAATATACCCAGAGGCTAATTAGGAGCTCTGGTAGCATAGTGCCTAAGGCACTTGACTGCTCACCAGAAGGCTGGCGGTTCAAACCCACCAGCCACTCCTCGGAAGGAAG